GTCAAGGCTTTATTTAAGATTGCAAAACAATTTTTTTTATGTTAGTTTGTCTCAAAGCTTTTCTTTTCTTTTTAATTTTGAACTGCGATAAAGAATTTTCTAATATAATTTTTGAGTCAATTTTCCTATATGTTTATATATTTGAAATGACCAACTAAGACGAGTTTTCAAATGAATTCAGTTGAATGAATTTCATTAGATTCTCATGCTCAAATTTGAAAATTTTCAATGTGATAGCATGTTGTTTAACTTTCACTTAAATGTTTTACTTTCAAAGAACCAAATTCCAATAAAATAGGAAATTGGTATAAACCAATTGAGTTATTGATGATAAGCTGGCTAAGAATAGCCACCGTTTGACCCCATTATTCCTCTATTAAATTATAATTCATTTTTTCCTCTTTTTTTTTATTAACCACACATTCTCAAATAAAATAATATTACACGTAAATCAAAAAATATTTTCTTTTTTTTTTAACCACACATTTTCCAAAAAACTACTATTCCTCTCATTATCCTGAATTTTTATGTTGAGTTAACGGAACAACGGACGGTAGGTGGATAAAATAACATTTTTCGCAATGAAATGTTAAAATGATGATGACGAAAAAAAGATACATTTTGCCCAAAAAACATTGAAAGGTAAAGGTGTTTTATGTTAATTAACCTACATAAAATCCTAAATGATTTAAACACCTATATTGAAGATTTGTTAAAGGGTGATTATATTGTCGCAACAATTTCTATTTTATATATCGCTTTTTAATTGCAGTTAAACTATTCAATCTTTGCTCATTATAACAATTATTTTCTTAACTTTTTTTCGTCGAATTCTTATATATCTTCAATTTTCCATTAATTAGTATGTATTGTCCTTGATGATGATTTATATCAAAATATTTTGTTTTCATGCTTTGAAATTAAGGAAAAATATTTTTACGCCTTTTATTTTTTTATTTTTTAAAAATACGATAGAAAAATAAGGTGTTTTAGCTTTTAGCTATTTCAATAAACTTTTGGATAGAAGACTGTTATCAAATACAAAATATGTTAATTATGAAAAGTTTGAGAATAAGAAAGACAAGAAAAAATGTTAGGGACATAAGTGTTATAATGAACAAATTTTAAGAACCCTAAGCGCAATTAAAATGTGTTACAATAAATAAAAATCGTAGTGTGAATCCTTTGTTAAAAGCTCATTATTTAATAAATGACCATTTAACCCTTAATTTAATTTAGAATAAATAAATAAAAAAAAAGAAAAGAAAGAAGGATGGAAAAACAAAAGAAAAGAAATAATAAACCATCGTCTCATTCCAACCCCACTTCTAGATGCCATTGCAAAGTTACAATTTTTGTTTAATGGTGGAGATGGTCCAAGATTTTTACAAATCTTTAGCCGTTGAAATATTGTTAAAAAAGTTTCTTACAAGGTTTTTACCGCATTTATATCCAAATTTGGTTATGAGAAGGAATCTAGATTTTTTTAGAGTAACTCAAGACAAAATTTGCATCGGAAAGACGGAGTTCTATGAAGAAATCAAGTTTGGTAATAGAAAATTTATAAAATATTTTCTCGATACATCTTATTAATTGTAAACGGTTTTAGCTTATTTTGTTTGTTTTAATAGTATATTTTAAATTATGTTTATGGAGTTTCTCAAAGTTGCTGCACAAGCAAATGAGTATAAAACGGTTAATGGTTACTTTGATGTAAGTGTTTAGTTGCTTGAAATATTGTCACAAATTTTATTTTTGCAAGTCTGAAAATTTAAGTAATGGAGCTAGAACCAAACTAGAATCGAATTATTCAATTCAACTTGATTCCATATCTCAAAGTAGAATCATTGATTTCATTATTAAAAAAATTATTGGTTCATGGTTCGATTCTTTTGGACCCAGAAACAAATGGAACCATATCCATTCTTACACGACTCTATTAGGCCCATGTTTGATTTTCATTTCTGAACTTCGACAATTTCCATTTTGTTCACGAGCTTGTAATTATTCTTATGGACATTATTCTTATGGACTCTGCAATTCTTTACTTTGAGATATTGCCTTGGTTTTAGAAGGTAATTACTTTTGTGCTTTTTGTGGTCCTTTATTTGAGATCTCTCTTGACTTTTCGTTGTCTTCTATGATTGCACTGGTCATGAGAATTTTTCCTACATTTTGGTTTCATGAAGAAAATGAGATGTTGCACACACTTTCATTTTTAGCCGGCGTTATGGAGTTGGGATTCTTGTGGCTCTTCCTCACGATTCCTACAAGTAGGTCTGGCTCATTTCGTATTGTGTGTTCTTTTTTTACTTAATTTTCTAGTATTTAACTGTATAATTTTTCATCTTAGTACTTTTTAATTCTTTTTTTCATGTACTTATGTTGGGGAATTGGATTTTTTTTAGATCCCTGTTTCTCTTTGATTTCAATGTTTTTGATATTTACGTAGATTTCATTTTTCATTTTTCAATTGGTTCATGTTCCGTTGAAAGAGATAGATACTAAATTATTTAAGTAATTCTCGTAGCGCAAGTAACTATTCTTTTTCCTCACTATTTTGGGTATAATTACTTTATTTCCTTGTGATTATACAAGAAATAGGTTCTGTATGTTTAGTGGAGGTCTGGCTCATTTAATTTGTGAGAAGTTTTTGTAATTTTTGTAGTTATAATTTGTTATGCTACTTGACATATATCGTAATATGGTGATCTTTTATGATGAATTTAGTTTGGTTTCTTTATAATATTTGTTATTTCTTTAGTTAGAGGATCGTCGGATATTTAAGGGTTTCCTTTTTCGTTTTCGCTTTTTTTTTTGTAATAGATGAAAGTTTGCAACTGATCAATTGGTTTGATTGTTTGGATGTTTATACTTAACTGGATTTTGTAGTTCTTATTTCTGTGATTTATGATAATTTTTCTTAGAATGCTTTTTTATGCTTTTTAAAATCTTTGTTTCGCATGAGTTTGTTGGGCAACTTAATATCTCCATTTAATAGTTTTCCTACTTCCCTAATATATAAAAATGGTATTTTGTAGTTACTGTAGATGCAATAGTAAACAGCATATCCTGTATGTTAGTTACATGTACGGTATATTAGTTGCATATCCGGTAAGTTGCAATATGGTATATATTGTAAATCCGGTAGGTTAGTTGCATGTACGGTATGTTAGTTACATATACGGTAAGTTGCATATTCAGTACCGTATGTTAGTTGCATATTCAGTAAGTTGCATATACGGTATGTTAGTTACATATTTGGTACGGTATGTTAGTTAGATATATGATATATGTTGTAAATTCGGTATGTTAGTTGCATATACGGTAAGTTGCCTATCCAGTATAGGTTGTAAATCCGGTATTTGTTAATATGAGAAACTTGCACTAAGTTTACTTGATTTAGTCAAAATTATATTAAGTTAAAATATTTATTTATATTTCTCTCAACAATAATAAAATTACGTTACGTTAATAATATGTTTGCTTTATAAGTTTGATCAACTTAAATTATATTAAACTTTCTTAAAAGTGCACAAAATTTAAAAGTCAATTACACTAATGTAATAGAATATTTATCTATAATCACAATTACAATGTAAAGAAGCATTTTTCATTTTTTTACGGTTGATCATTTCTTGAAGTTTTAAGTTTCATTCCTAATTAATTTTCAACCGGATGTGGAGGAGGATCGAGAGGCCACCATGACCAGGGTTTTGAATTGGTTGAATCGAGACATAGCTCATGTAGTGGAGCTGCAACGCTATGTAGAATTAAAAGACGCTACACATGGTGTTTCCGATGAGTGAAAGTGGCGGTGGAAATGAAAAGGGATGATTATTTTTTATTTTTTAATTATTTATT